TTCTGACTCTAGCTTTGGTGCTGCCTTTAGCAGATGTGTTCTTTCAACTCCAGCTGAATTAAGAAAAGTTAATTCCCACAGATACTATTACATCATTAAACATGATACATTTTGATATTTGGTACATAAAAGGTCTCATCTACCTCTGCCCCAGCTCATTATGTTCTACATTCCTCATGAACATCCCTCAGAGAAAAGCCATGAAATAATTGTTTTCAATCCAAAATGGGCATATAATTAGTTGTGCGTTATTTATCTAATATAAAACATGAAATCATATTCCTACATTGCATCCTATATTTCCTGTTGTTGTGGGAGAACAAACTGTTATCTGTGCCTCCTCTGTCACAGATTTCTCCTTGTACCAATATTGAACATCAGTGAAAATTGTGGCTGTACAAGAGAGACCAAGAGATGGTTTTTAAAATCATCTGGGACACTTTTGGTATCAAACCCCATTGATACTGCACTGCAAATACACTAATATCATAATATCGTGTCACACTGTGCACAAATGGCCAGTTATACAACAACAGAGACATGCCAATTAATAAGAAAATGGACCCAGATGTGCAGGAAACACAGCCAGGAGCTGTTAGCATGCACACAGTATTTAGGTGCAAAAAAAAAAAAAATTAATCTAACATTTATACATCTATTTATGTTTTATATTAGTGTGCTGGGCAGGGCAAACCATTTAGAGATGCAGAGAAATGAAATGCCCAAAAATAAATAAATAAAATAATGGAGCCTAAATTATCTCAAAGACCCCCCACCCTGCCTGATGTACTGATGTGGCACACATACAAAGTATAGCAAAAGCAAATAAGTTCAGTCTAATAAAAAACTAAATGAAAGGGTCAGTTGTGCTGAATGCTGATGGAGAATCATTAGGACCAAGACTGGATATTCAGTATTTATGAGACATGACTGATTCGCTTGACCAGTAACATGAAAAATGTCAGGTAATAAAACATTTAAAGTTGTAAATGTATGTGGATGAGAGAAAAATTCACTTGAAACTTTTATAGTGATAAGTTAAAAAAATGTAAGAGTTACAAGGTTTTAGTCGCTGTGAGGGGTCTAGTCGCACCAAGTTATGCTGTCATCAGTTGAGCCATCCATCCGATGGCATGGCTAAAGCAGACCAAACAGGGCTAGGGAGAAAACCTTTAATTTTCTGTTTTCCCTCTTTTGTGTTATTTATAAGACAGTAGGTGCAAAAAGAGTAAATGCAGTTTGGCACAAAGTCATAGGTTCCTTATTACAATATACTGTATATACGCTAACCAGGAAGCTACAGGTTAGTTTGTGAGCACTGACACAGTAATTAGCAAGAGGTGGTGGTGGTGGCACATAATGGGCCTTTTCGCAAGTCATTCTGACTTGACATTATAAGAAAAAACTGCAAATAGAAGAGAAGAGGGAAAATAAAGAAAGGGAGATTAATAAATAATAATAGTGTGCTCCTGTGTATAGCACAGCAGACACACTAATAAAATCCTAAAGATATTTAAAAAATCATAAGTGTTTAATGCTGAATTACGCATGCATTTTGATTTATAGTATACACATAAACTACTACTTAAATCCACCATCCTAAAAATGGTTTTATGCTTGTGGCATTTGCAGAGGCATTTAACTTAAATATGGTTTCCTGTCATATCCTATCAAAGGACAATTTAGAGTTTTTTGTTTTGTTTTCACTGCACTGTATACTGACAACAAATGTTTAACATATATTATTGTCTGTTGCTTTTAAATGCCAGAATTCTGAATTGATATTGGGCATTCATTATGTCACAATTACTTTAAACAGTGCTGGATGACAAATCTATTTATTCTCAATATGTGGACAAGGCGAGTACAGTCAGCTGACCTGGACTCAGAGCAAGGAGAACTCATCACAAAAGCAAGATACATGATTCACAATGCCATTCCTTTTACCCTAACCCACTATAGTACACTAGGACACAGCTGTTGGCTTTTAAAAGCTGCTCCATGTGATTAGTTTCTATCCTGTTGCTCCTGTTTTGGATGTTAAGCATGCAAGTTCTGTAACTCTAATCAACCCTGAGTGATACCACAGTATGGCCACCTACTGAGTTTATTTTAGGCTTTGGAAATTAAATGAAAACAGCACTTCACAATCAGGATGATACACTTCAGGCACATCTTTTGATGATCTTCAAAATGTCTTAGTGGTTTGTAACATGCAGTAAAACAAATCCAAAACAGTCATCTGTCTCACCCACAACCTATAGAACAGATAAACCCCTATTTCAGTCAATCCAGCTGTCTACACAGACCATGTAGCAACTCATAATTTATGTGCTATGCACCTTTAAACATGTCCCAACCTGTATTTTTAAACTTTGTTTTTCTTCTTTTGTTATATGCATGTAACTACAGTATTATGCTATGAGTACTTGACCTACAGCACAATACTGTTGCTGAAGGCCTGATCCACATTTAATCAGGGCTGTTTCAGTCCAACGCTCACCTAAAACAAGTAATTACAAAATGTTCCTTCGGTCAGTCAACATTAGTACATATGGTTTGCAATATTCCAACATATGCTGAGAAAATAATAGGGTAAACAAATTCTAATCGGCATAACGTTAACATTACTAGACTGATACGGTACATGAGCTAGAGATGCTGGTAAGGAAGGCAAAAATGTATTTACCCATTTATCTTCTTTTCTTTGCCACACATAGATACCCCACCTCAACTGTTTTGCACATTTATATGCACAGACTGAGATATCCTTTGTAGGTGTTCGCAGGAGTGGTGTGGTAATTGTATACTAGGGAACCATGGGCTTACAGCTGCATACTGTAGTGTGTGTCCAAGTCAGTAAGCTTCACCTAGAGCAATGGCAGTGTAGCGACTCAACTCTAGGCCAAGTGTTGGGTGAGTTTCAGGGAGATTTGTATTACGTATATTTTTCATGTATAATGACACAAAGAAGAGCAGAACTACTGTATATAGAATTTAATATACCTGATATGTACTGAAATATAGGCAACAAAATGTCGCAAAGAACACAATAAGGGTAACGTGATTCAAGCTTGACATTCTTCCTCAGCATCTAAAGATAAAAACTCTGTGAAGTAGGAAGTTGCTTCTAGACAGTACAGTACCTAATTATCATTTATTAAAGAATTTATTACTCCAGGCTTTTGATTCGTCAGAACAGAATACAGTAAAAGATGGCATGCTTATCTTAATCGAGGGTTTCTCAGATTTGACAGAGCTTCTACAGAAATAAAGAAGTCATTATACAAATAACTTTGATAAGTATACTGATTCCTATGTGTAAAATCAGAGTAATTCCACTTTAACTGATTTAAAATTTGATTTAAATACTACAAAATCTCCAGATAACTGGTAAGAATGTTAACACGGGTTAGCTATTCAACATTCCTAAGTGCAGTAATCAGTAGAGTAATGGCAACATGTTGTTTCTGTTGCTTTGAGAGATGTCAGTTAAGGGTTTTAATTAAACATAACTTAAAGACTTAATTTTAAATTACAAAAAAATGTACAAATTGATTAGATGCTAGAAGCTGGAAAATAATAGAATAGAATAGAACTTTATTTGTCATTGTACATTGTGCAATAAAATTGAAAGAGCAGTCCTTTTTGCAGTCCTCATGGAGTTATAGTGGGGTGAAAAGCCATTTTAATGACCCCAAAGGATTTTGCATAATGGAATTAGGTTTTGCTCCCTCTTCTCGGTCACTGAGATCACGTTGTCCAAACTGCAGCAGCCACTATGTGTAGACCATATTACAGTAGTAGAGCAATTGTCCTTTAGTGGATCTCTACCTTTATTCTCAGGTGACACACATCATATAGACTGAACTTTACACCAGAACCACTGTGATGTTTGTAAGAAGGATGAAACCAAAGAATTGAAACAGTCTAACACCAAGGTTGATGTTATTTCATCCTGCCTCACAGTTAAAGAAAAGAGGACAACAGATCCTTCTGTGGAGTCAAGCCATAAGTACCATGCATACATGCAGACAGGGAAAGCTATGGTTCCTAATTTTGCTCATTAATCACCTGTTTGCTGAACATCCTCCAGAGAAAAGTGTTCTGTTTCTCTGAGGTAATTAATGCACTTGAAGACACACCCTCTCCAGCAAATGCTGATAAGTGGCCATCTTATCCCTCTCCTGTCCTTCCTTTTTTTTTTTTGTCTCAGCAGTGGTGCCAGTAGCTCCCATGTCCTTCCTCCTTCTCTTGTCAAGCCCTTTCTTGCACCACTCTTGCTCCTCTTCAGTTTTGTAATCAGCAGACTTTTTTTTTCTCAGGCCACACATCCATTTGGCATCTGCTGTGGGATAAATAAATTATAGCTTTTAAAATCAATACCTAGTCCATGATGTTGGCTGTAGGCTCTATGCTTGCCACCGTGCTAGGATTGTGCCCCTGGGGCCAAAACAGGGGTATGTGTTAAGCCCTGGAGCTATGGCTTTCTGCTGTTCCCAGCCTTCTTATATTTTACTTGCCATAGGATTTCATGTATAATATTACTTTTATTGTGGAGCAAAGTGGAGGTTTTGAGGAATAATTTGTCTCAGGAAGCTGTTGGCTTGTCAGTGTCCAGGTTAACCTGAGTTTTCCCTTGACTCACCACAATGTCTGGAAGCTGCATTTAATTTTTCTACAGAACCACTCAAACAGTCTAAAAATAAATCAAAGACAGTGGTAAGAGTGAAATCTTTGTACATTTATTTCTAAAGGCAAAATAGGAGTAATGCAGCGACTATGTAAAAGGTGTGCTGATTTTCGAATGAAAGCTTTATAAGTTGATAGATGATGCCTTTTCTCAAAGTTGTCAGAGTAATCTCATAGATGGCTTCAGGGAGTCCGACACTAGCCATGCATAAAATACTTCTTTGAATGTGTCTTCAGTGTGTCCTTTTGAGAGCTACACTGCACTATGATTTTTCTAATTCTCTTTTTTTTGCTTTCTGTTTTCCCAGATGGAGATATTAGCGGAACCTGATCCTGATGACGAGGGGACAAAAATAAGTGTAAGTTCTGGACTTACATAAACCTCCGGTTGTAGCCTAATTCTTCTCAGTGTTGTCAGGACCCAGCATAGCACAACAGCAGTTGATTTCCCTGAATAATACACCTTCAACCAGAGAAAGGAGCTAATCAGTGAAATCAGTGGCAGTATATTATTACTGTCAGAGTGGTTCGCTTCAGGCATTCATGGCCCAGCAACTGGTGTGCCCCCTTTTCCCCCCCTGCCATAATGAATGTAAATTCATTGCCCAGATCAGTTTTCACTCCGCTGCCCATTGGGCTAGACAGCTATTCGTAGTGTAAAGTTACAGGTCTGAGATTAGGCTACTGTATGTCGTTTCATCTAAATGTAAATTCCAATTTATGGCAGCTTTTTTTTTTCTTTTCTTGTGTGTGTGTAGCTGTAGTCACCGCTTCTAAGAAGTATGATAATACTTTAGCAGGAACATGGTAACATCACTAGAGTAAAGTTAGAAGTGGCATGAAAAAATGAGCAGTAAGATGATGAGAGGTTAAAATTCTGACCACTTTTTACTCTTTTTCCTACAATCAACTTGAGTTCAATGTTGTTATTACTGACAGAAATAGTGGTGAAAACTATTACACTAAGACTTACGCTGGATGAAACTGAATTTCCCTCTAAGAACAAAAGCCCAATGCAACTAAAACTTTTCATATTAGAAGACTTCTGTCTAACTCTTTTAGCATGCAGGCTTTACTATGAAATAAACTCAAATATGACAGGTTTAAATAAGAAAACAAATGTTAGTTTAAATGAACTCAAAATGCAGTTAGCTTTACCTGGGTTACACTAGAAAGAAAAAAAGATCCACCTCTCCAAGTTATTAAGTCTCGCATTGAGCTGTACAGTAAATAGATTAAACTTAAACCATCCAGCAAACTATAGTATTGATATGAAATTATTTTTTCACTTGGTTTACTATGCAATAAAATTCTTGCACATTAGTTGAAGTGTAACTTACTAGTAAATCTTATGGTATAAACTAATGCAAACCCTAAAAACACACTGAAATAGAGTTTGGAAAATATATTCTACATCATGACACAGTAGAAATGTATTTAACTGGCTTAACTGTACCTGGCTATACCTTCAATTTCTAGTTGTAATGGGTCATTGAAGACAAGTAAATCATGAAATTAATCATGAATCAGTTATATTGTAAATTCTAAATTACCTTTACATTTCCTATTTAACTCATTTAATTTTTCAGGTATTTAACTCTGAAAACTTAATTATTTGAATTTATGAAGTTTAACTTGCTGTATCATCATGTGATTTAATTTCACAATATGACATCTATATTTAAGGCTTAAGATCAATATATGAAAGATTTTGCCTCCAGTGTTATGCTGTGCTTATTAGTTATTAACATCCAACTCAGTCCATCCCAAAAATATGTGCTCCTATAAATAATTATTTTCACATACAAGCTACAATCAGCGCATGAGAAGAGAGAAAACAGGCAAGTACATACTATATACTAAGGAAGCTAATGAGAGAAGCAGAGAGAGGTGTGGTGGTAGCAAGAGTCAAGACTGGCTAATGAGGGACTGAGCAGCAGGTGTGTAGAGCAGAGCTGCTAAGGAAAAACCCAGGGACAACTGCAGAGGATGGGGAATAACAGACCATACAAAAGACCAAAAAGTAACAGAACAGGGCAGACACAGACTGTGACAGTATCATACCATTCACTGTTGTGACACTGTGGTCTCTTTTAATTACTCTAATAGACAGTGAAAGTCCAGGGCAATGACATCTCACACAAGCTGCAGATCTCCAGAGTCAGCAAGAGTGATGAAGGACTGTACGAGTGCCGGGTGACACGAGCTAACTATGGAGAAATTGTGGAGTACAAAGCTCAAGCCTGGCTCAAGGTCAACACAACAGCCAGGCCACGACGACCACTGCCACCTCCCAAGAAGAGCTCTCCACTGCACCTGACAGACAAGAAGCCAAGAAAGTCCACCTCACCTCTGGGCCAGGATAGCATGAGTTCAGACCAGAGGACAGCCTCCACTTCCACCTCTCACACAGCCTCCAATACAGCTAAACACAACCCCGGTTCAGGTAATGCCCTAGGGGAGAGTTACATAATGAGAACACTACAGAACACAAAACAACTCATGTAGCCAGAATAAAGTTACGTCCTGATGTATTTGACATGTTTACAATCTACCTGCTTAAATTAAAAAGGGCTGTTTGGTTGAGATTCATAAGAACCAACAGACTTCACATGAAGTTACAGTTATACAGCTATTAAAAGTAAAATAATACTTAAAAAAACTGATTGCCATTAAAAAAAAATTATCATGTTTCAAGGCACACCGAGACCATAGTACTTGTGTCATTCAGAATTATCTATGCATTGTATTGTAATTTACAATGTGGATTCAATAGGAATGTCCATCCATCACCGCTCATTCCTGAACAGGGTCACGGGGAAGGCTGGAGCCTGTCCCAGATGGCACTGGGCAAGAGGTGGGGTACACCATGAACAGATTGCCCATCTGTCATAGGTCTGACATGTAGACAAACATCCACAAGGCCCCAAGCCAACCCGGGCTTGAACCTGGAACCTTTTTCCTGTGACCACCATGCCACTGTATGCCCCAATAGGAATGTGACATTTAGTATATATGTAATGCTAATGCTTAAGGTGTGGAGACACAGACATTTAACCAGTCACCAGCGACTGCTCTGCAAAAATGCACGCCTGGAACTTGATTTTAGTACCATCTCCTGAGGTGTGCTGAAATTTAGCACCCAAAATGCACCTCCAAGGCCAAGTGAAGTGGAAATAAACACAAAACCCATGACAGGTGCAACATGTGTAGATAGGTTCCTGTAATGGAAAAACCCCACTGAGTCTTTGGTAGTTTTTAATGACCATATCAGGTTTCCCAAGAGACAAAGTTTAGCATAAGGCTACATTACAACTTACATAATATACAGTTCTGGGATCTAGGAAACAAAATATTTGCAAGAAGAATTGCAAGTGACAGTCCCTCAGTCAGGCTGTCCCATAAACATTGGTGATTTGAATCATCAGTCAAATGATGTCCATCGCAAATCTTATGTTGGTAGCTGTGCACATGATTTTTTTTATTTATTGTGTTCACACAGGATGTCAGTGTGACAGGTTAAGGTTTTCCTTTAGCTATAATGGAATTGGGTAGATCCATCCATCCATTATCTATATCACTTATCCTGAAGAGGGTCATGGGGGGCTGGAGTCAACCCCAGGAAACATTGGGTAAGAGGCGGGGTCCACCCTGGACAGGTCGCCAGTCTATCACACGGCTGACACTTAGAGACAGACAAGCACACACACTCATATTCACTCATGTGGGCAATTTAGTCAGCAGTCAACCTAAGCTGCTTGTCTTTGGACTATGGGAGGAAGCCGGAGTACCCGGACAGAACCCATGCAGGCACAGGGAGGACATTCAAACTCTGCACAGAAAGGCACCTGGTTGGCTGGGACTCAAACCTGGAACCTTCTTGCTGTGAAGAGACAGTGCTAACCTCTGTTCTACCATGCTGCCCTTGTATCCAAATCTACAACAGCACATAGCAGAGTTCCCTGTTGAAAGAATAGATTTAATAAATGCAGTGCAGAAGACTGTCCAAATTCACAATTCATCAACTGGTAGCCTCAAGAGAACTATTCTTGGGGTGCAAACATCAACAGAGCTTACTTGGTAAAAGTGACAAACAATTCCATCCATGCAACAATGTAGTAGTAGTAATAATAATAATACTAATAATAATCTGCACCATATTTTGCTGACATTATTCATATACAGAATATGCCTATAGGCTGGATTTCTTACATTTTGCAAAGCTAAACCATTTGTTGTCCAACTACATTATGAGAATCCTTATTCCACAATGTAAGTTCACTATAATATTACGAGTGATAATCATGCAAAAGCAAAGTTTAATTGCATATGCTGACCACATTAACACATTAGTTCTGTTTACACTGATGCAACTGTGGAAGACAGATTAAAGTTATAGTCCATAAACATTTAAACAATAAAACAAAAATGGCTTTCAATATTTAGTCACTTTTATTTAAAGAGCAACTTATCAAAAATGGAACGTCTTCTTTTTGCAGTAGTTTAACTTATTGTCTTGCTGCAGTAATACAGTAGGTATACTCTTGATCTCAGAGTTCAAGCATCTTAATCTACTTGCTTACTGTTAGGCAAATATTGTGTTCTTAGTTTTAAAAAAAGCCAACATTGTCCCTGTTGTCAAAATCAGGCACTTTCTGCACCCCACATTCATTCATTCATTCATAAGAGCTTTTGTGTTTTAAAGTTAAATATCCTAAAAATAATCATGTCCCAGCCTCTGAGATAGGAACAGGTCAAATGTACAATTAAGGAATGCACCTAGTCCACTGATTAAAATTCAATTCACATTTTATTTTTATAGTGCCAAATCACAGCAAACGTCATCTCAAGTCACTTTACTATTATTATTATTATTAAGGAAAAGCCAACAAAGCAAACCCTTGAGCAAGCATTTGGCGACAGGGGAGGAAAAACTCCCTTAAATGGAAGAAACCTGCGACAGACCCCAGCTCCTGGTAGGCGGCCTTCTGCCTCTACTGGGACATCTACACTGATATTACGCTGCATGGACAGTTACTATTTTCTATGACTGCATGAAGTTCTTTGTCTATAAAATGTAGGAATGGGTTGATTTGGGAGTTTAACAAACCATCAGTGCTGTATTCCTTATTGGTCTTAAACTATCAGTTAAAAAAACCTATCCCTGGTTTTCCTCTTTTCCTTTGGATGTCAGATTAATTAATCTGATCATGGGGTGTTCCTTTTGAATAACAATTAGGTCCCTGTGTATCAGCCTCCTAAATTTGCTCTCATTAACTCTTTGTGATATTTTATGCTATATGCTATAATTGTACTGCTCTTTCTCATCTACAAATGCCAGACAGACGGTCCACACAAAGTCAACCGTGCTCTGAGCTTAGATAACCTCCTGCGGCCTGGAGCAAAACACAAAGATATTACTTGCCACTGAATAAAGGCAATGCATTGAATAATCCCTGGGGCTGTGGAGTTACAGATTAGGAAGCAGCCAAATTATGCTGACAGCTGTGTTGCAGTGAGTCCTCTATGTGATGTGTCTGACACAGCTAAATGCTTCTTTGTGACTGCTCAGGCTGCCTTAGCCACCTTCTCTAAGTGGCAACAGGGTGTTAGGGCTGAGGGCAACAGAGTTCTATTACTGCTGCACTCAGGGTTTGAGGCAGATGAGCAACAATAAGTAAATGGGTTGAGATGAAATTAAATGGGGGAGAGTGCAGATCTCCTACTTTTTCGCATTACTGTATTTGTAAACAGTGACGCACTTTCCAGATGGTGGCTGGTGCTGCAGCAGCAGTAGCGATTTGTTCACAACTACTCCCCACCAGTGTGTCAGCTGTTGTTAGATCACAGCTCAGCCTCCATCGTTCCTGGCAGTATTGTTCTGTCAAAGCTCAGAGGTGACCGAGGCTGAATGTGGAAAAAAGGGGAAAAAGTGGCCCCTAAGCCAGACTTGTCCACCTCACCCAATATCAGTATGGCTTTCCACATGAAAGGAAAACAAATATGGACTCAGGTTCATTGCGTAAGCATTCATCCAAACAAAACAACAACAAAAAAAATACTATCTTTCTTTTGAGGAACCACTGCCTCAACTGTGTGCGTATGTCTAAGGAAAGAACATCAATGAGTCATTATTCCAGTAGGCGGTTAGGAACAGTGGGACTGCTGTTTATGGTTGTGTATTTCTCAGGCAGTTGCATGCAATGTCAGCGTGTCACTTCACATTCCTACAGCTGCTCCCACTGGTCCTTTTGTGTGCATGTAAATCTGACTAACATCTGTGAGTGCACAGTATTTAAAAAATCCCAGTCTTATAGTGGATGGGACGAATCTTCATGTGAAATGAGGCTGCAACAGTGGCAGCCTGTGTCTAACCAACAAGATGAGCATAGGAAGAGACAGCACCGATACAGAATGAAAAAACAGAACTAACTATCACGTGTCCAAAATTTATCTTCTGGCAGACATAATGTATTAATTTAATAATTGGTCTACCTGCAGCCAGATATCAGCCTACATTTCTGTGCTGTACAAAACTGGAGTAGAGTTCCACTTAATGCAGGTTCACATAGTTTTGCACTTTTTATCCCCATCCATAACATATAACACCAGTTGTGTTATATCTTGGAGTCTTAGAGTGCCATACATCAAGAATGTGATCTTAAAGAAAGCTTCATATTGTATAATCATTTCATATATTTTTCATGCAAAACAAATTCTATGTTAATGAATATTTTTCTTCTGAAATGTAGTTTTAAGTAAAGTAAAATGTCTTTTGTAAAGAAAATAATGAAGTACCTGAAATATATAATTAAATACAATAGTTAATTCCACCACTGTAATTTCCCATGGCAAAAGAAACTGGATGTCAACAAATGCTGAAGCATTCAAGGAATCAGGATTTTTATTTGAGATAAAAAACTAATACTGAAACAAGACTAACAAGTAAAACTGCCCTTTAATAGCTCCCTAAATTAAGCCCTAATCATATATCAGTTATGAAAATACTAAATGATGGAAAATGATAGCAGCAGTGTTGCCTAAAGCACACAAAACTGCTGGTGTAACCCTTACAAATGTGGTAAAGATGGGATATTAATTGGAGAGTTTACATTACACACCAGACTGTTATCACACTCATCATCACACACAGTTGAACAGTCAAGCTGTAAGGTAATGACATCTTGTTCTATTTAACCAGTCAACAAGAAAATGGGGCAAGTAAGCATGCGAGTCAAAGAGACAGTCAGCTAGCCCATCAGCTAGCCCATCAGCTGGCCAGAGATCAGGAGCTATAGATGGCACTAAGCCAGTTTGAGCCCCCTGTGGAGGCGCTGGGGTGATTCACCTCCCTGCCTCACTGACCCTGACTGGCTCTCTTGCCTGGAATCAATATTCCACATCACTATTTCACTGAGCCAAAAACTTTTTGGCAAAATGTAAACT